CCCTTGCACACAGGTCTCGCTTGTAACACTAAAACCGTGCACAGACTGAGGAAATGAATGAACAACACCAAAAAGTATTAAGATGGAAAACCGGACAGAGACGAAAGTGACATCAGTAGAGACAAAAAAGCAGACAATGTCCCCGGCTCATGTGATGTAAAGCATGTATGTAATGAACATCGATCTTGGTGAAGTAACCTACCCTAGAAAAGGCCGATCATATTTGTGATAGTAATTAAGCCCGGAAGTAGCCAAATCAGTGAGTTCCTCGAATTGAACGATCTAAGAGGTGAGAACGGAAGAGCGAGAACAACAGTGACTTACTAAGTGTTACTAAATGAAATGACAAGGCAATTCAATCCGGTTCACTTCAGCTTGAACAAGCTCCAATAATTTACCGGTTTCGATAGTTTCGATTGCTACTCCTAGAAATGCACTCTATTGATAAACTAAAGTAGTCAAGATTATGGGAAAGCAGAGACAGAACCACGATGAACCAAGTGCGGCATTTCTATTAGCTATCTCTCAACGGGTACCTCACTGGAAAATAAAAAAGAGTATGAGAAACGTAAGAAGAGAACTGCAAATTGTGCTGTCAATTGAGTGAATACAATGGCACCATTGGTCGCGACACCTAGTCAACGTCCTAAATCACTGAGTGGGTGAATCTGCATATAAGACTCTACATAAAAAGCCTAAAACGGTCTGCATAGACAAATCCACTTGGCTGCCCTCCCATAACTTTCTTCTGTGTCAGAGACTGTCCATCTTTGTTCGTCCTCCAACCACCACCCATCTCAGCGAAAATTGCGCGCCGGAGACGTGCGTAACGCAAGTCCTAATCCCTTTAGCCTGGTGAACCTTAGTGCCTTATCGAACGATTCGATTTGTGTGCCCAAGTCGCTGCGCCGAACCGCGGCACTGCTGATCTGATGCCCTCACCAAATTCAACCTCAGATAGCCTAGCTGGGAAATTGATTAGGTGAAGCTGAACAGACGGTAATAATGGAATACTTGGCACCATTGAGAGTTAATTAAGAATCAACGCGCACGCAAAAATATCATTCACTTACTGCGTCGGTGAACCTGCCTTGCGTTAGTAGTGCCTCAGCTGAAGTGACACGTTTCTCAACATCCGCAGCGGTCAATAGCCTGCGTGAGCAGAATAAAGCACGAGAGAAAATCTATTGCACAAGAACTAAAGCGTTAGTTCTCTTCAATAAAGCTAGTGAACCAACAAATTACGAACGACGTGGATGAGTTGACAGTGCGCGTCGTTCAATCTATGTTTTCACAGTTTGTATGACAAAATTGCATCCACGTGTCGCAAACCATAACCATTCTGCATTAAGAAGTGTACTCCAAATCGTAATTGCGTGACATGTGACGCGATTGTAAGGAAGCAATTCGAGCAATGTTAGCGTCCGACTCCGGAGAAGTAGTCGTGTTACCGACGAACATCAACCGCGAAAGAAGCGACACGATTTATTGATTTGGTAGATAACATTATATATATATCGGTCTGATAACAGGCGTAGTACCGACGCCAAACTAATGAAAACAACGAAGGGCAGAACGAGGAAAAATGATTTATAAAAAACAATATTTAAGTTTTGATGTTTGTTTAGGTGTATAAGATATGGGGAGTTTGTTTGGCATTCCGCACAGCATTCGGACAACTGATTTCCATTCCGAGCTATATCACTTGAGTTCTCTAACAAATCACTATCCTCGTCCTTTGGACATCAATCGGGACGTTGGGATGCATCAACTGAGGCCAGTTAAAAGGCCACCTTCTTCATACGTGTATGTCAAATGACAGAACAATCACCGCCTTGCTTCCTCGAGTCTCATTCGGAATACACAACGCAGCACAAAAAAAGGCAGATGATGGATAGTCATACACTGATCGTGCCCCTGAACACCGGGGGCGTTGGAAACTGATAATCTTGCTAGAGGGGTTGTTATCCGCATCCAACAATCGATGATGCACCTTATTGTAGCTTACCGATGTCCAAATCAGAAAAAACAACGATTCGAAGATATCAGTTGTCGGATACGGAATCACTGGACATCTTCGGCGCTAAGTGACTAGATTTCGCTACCTTGGAATAACAGAGCACAACGACATCGTACACTCATACTCTCAAGGGAAAATGGATGTAATGTCAGAGGTTAACGGAAGCCAAACTTGCTCTCGTCATTCATGACAATCTCTTGGAGACCTCAACTAGCTACGACACAGTTCCCGAGGTGCTTAAAGTTATCAACGATTACTAACCGATCAATAGAAATAACTGCGAACTCAGGCTCCTGTTGGTATTACAAAGGGACTTCATACTTAGTATGGCAAAATGCACATCCCGCTAAGCACTTCAAAAAGTATTGTACATTCCGATCACTGTCACTCAGCACGGTGATGTGTCCGGTATGTTCAAAGTCAAAAAATTCCTCCGCGGGAGGAGGTCAACTGCACCGTTTGACACGTCAAAAAGGGGCTCCTTAGTGCGTGACGAAGTTAAGGAGGAACAGGGAGTTGAGGCAGCCTCATCATACTCCGACCTGAGGTATGAGGACACCATTTTTGGGGGATCGTATTGCACTATTTCGTTTGTCAACAAAAAACTACACAGTGCCGTCCGTTCGACGGAATCAAAGGCCGCACAAACGTCTAACATAACGACGAACAGTGGACATGGGTATTGCCAAGGTATGAAGGAATGTTGCTACCGTATGTAAAGCGAGGAACTGTACCAAAAAAGTGCATCTTGTGCAGACGAGAATTCATAGGGCTATTATCTAGGCCCACTTTAGGGAATACCCGCCAGAAAATCGTTCGCAACACATGCGCAGTGAATAAAACTGCTGGCAAAGGTACGAAGCAATCGGAGGGGATTAGGCTTGACAAGCATCCTTTGATTGACCAACATTATTAGAATTTGGAGCTGGTCCTCTTGTTCAGTTATTTTTATATGAATGCTGAATATTAGTGTTTGTCCCATAAGATGTGACGGACTCCTTGAGTTGGAGAATGAATTTGAATAATCGAATGACCTATGCGTACCTGGGATAAGAAATATTCGATATCGCGATCCACACATTTACCAATTAAACCGTATCATTTCCAGTTGCATCGGTGTGGTGACAATTGCCATAAAATATATCGGCCAGAGTATGATGGTTACGATGGAGGGCCAGTACTAACCTACTAGAAAATTTGCAAAGAGAATATGGGATCGCGATTGCTTACTCGTATTCTCTGAAAAACCATGGACGTTTTTTCTTTTCATTTCGCTTCTCCTACAACAACAGAAAGAAGGGCGCGAAGTGTGATAGTTTTATATAGGGAGAGAGTGATCTAGGAGCGCAATCTAAATTCGTATTATGTGTAGTCTATGGAGAAAAGCGTCAAAAAGGCAAAGAAATGGGTCTAAAACCGAGTTATGTGTTTCCAAAACCCTTTGGTATTTATCATAGTCGGTGCTTATTGCGTTAACCCGCTGACTTTACGAACCACAATCTGTCAAAGATCACATGCAGGCATCGGAGATGAAAGAACGTAGTGTAGTCCGCTTGTATCTGTGCGCTGTCGCTTCCTTAATCCAATAGTTTGGTCAGATTACGAACTTCAAGTGTTTTGTGACAAATTGTATCTCACACATCAAGGGTTTAGTTATACTGCGACTACGGACTTGGATACCTATGCACTGGTGGTAGATAGCAAAACCACTAACACCTAGCACGTTACCATATCTGACCTGTTGAGATTCTTCATTCCAAGTCTCCCAGTCAGGCCATCCCTTACATAGTAGTGAACCTTCCTCTTTATAGGATATGCCCCTTCCACGGCACCCGTGTGCAAGTGTACCGTAATAAAAAAATGGCCGGTTGAGCTGTGTGTAGATTTATTGTGCTACCGGTGTTATCACTCCACAACCTAGTGATATTTGTGTGTACCCTGGGTGAATTTAATCCAACAGTGTTTCCCAATGAAAGAACGAGAAAAAGAAAGGAAAAATTACGTGTCAGCTTGGCACCGGCATGAAGTACTATGAAGACCACTCCTCCTCGCCTTTGGGTGCGACGGAAAAAACTTGACTTTATTAGGAAATTCGAACCGGATCAAATAACAACTAACTGCCCACCTTACAAGACAATTATTGAAACAATAAATCTTATTCAACGGCACCCTGGAACTGTTCCAAAAGCGGAAAACCTTATCTGTCATTCGTCTTATCTTCCTTCACTACGCTTTATTCTGAGAACAGGGAATACCTACGAACTAATTTGCCGATCAGGCGTTCGTGCCAGGGACTTTAGTCTGTAAATAGCAATCCGAAGTATAAGAAACAGCTCTCACTTTCATTCACTTTTTATAAATATATAGAGCCCCGATAGGTAAAATAATTTCTATGAGCAGGTTTCCAGTTCAACTATGCTGACCTCTGCGGCAACCAACACACAAACTCTGAACGGTAGATTCACACATCGGAAATCTATCCGCGGACGGGACCTCTGCTTCGATCGAACTCCATGTCCGACTGGAAACGCCAAGAGACCCACACTATTGTATGGTGAATCAGCCAAACTTTGAACTATTTGAATCAAAGACCAAAGATTACAAAACTGTTCGTGTAAAACGTTCCGTGAGTGGTTTGACGCACTCAATACTGCTTTCCTAGTATCGACATGAGTTACTGGCTTAAATTTAGTTTTTGTCAGAATAGTGTCAAATCTCGGCATTTTACACAGTACTTGGGGCTTGTTTCAGGTTTTACGACCAGAAGCCGGAGAGATGAAAAGAACGCGTACCACCAGAAATTTCTTCTTACGTTACTTGAATCAAAGCTTGCCGCCAGATCAATTTAAATGCAGTTTTCAGAGAACTTTAAATATTGCAGAAAATATTTCCGAGAATACACGCAATCAGTGGGTGATCTCTTCAACTGTTCTCCGTGATAAAGACAATAACTACGTGATCATTATTTATGTGCTATTTTGTGAGACACCTGATTTGCATTGAACTTGATAACCGCCATAGACAGCAGTCAGTGGCACTGGAAAACTCATCATTATATCACAATGATAACGGTACTGGGACGTACCCTAAGTTAGTGTTCCAGTGGAGCACTGTGGACGGCATTAAAACAACCCCTACGATACAACATGATATATTTAAGCACAGCATACACTTTTTGTTTTACAGAATAATATGCTTTTGTGTGTCGTATTCTACTCACAATTTGATTTGACCCGGACCTGTTAAAAGAAAAGATCTAGCTAAGTTTCTATCATCTCGGTACGTATCCTCTACTGAAAGCCAGAGAGATAAATCACGAAATAAACCGCATGGGATATCATCTATCCATCGATTCCATGCGTACGAAAATAGCAAACATTACTCGACTTCCACGGAATTTTAAGAGTTTTCGTGCCAAATGAACCGATTTCCTCAAGGAAAGTGGTTGAACCCCAGCTTTTGTAAACAGAAAGCTATTAGACACCCTTCAGTGACTCAAGTGAGAATGAGTCTGCGGACACGGTTCTCCATTACTGTCTATTCAGGCAGCCTTTATGACCATGAATGTAGAAGTGTACAAGGAAGTATCATTTGACCGAGACAAACCACAAGTTTTCATCCGGACGAAAATGTGATACTTGATCTTTTACCTGGCTATTTCGTGAACAAGACGGATATATCATGGGAGAGTAAGTGGATACTACATCAGAGTCACGTGGGGGACCTACTTTCCCATTATGGATTCGGAGAACAATATTTATTGTCATTGAAGCAAACCGTATGGCTTGCTTAAAGCCGGGGATTTCGAATCAACTGATTTATTTCCTGGCCACCCAACCAGATGTTTCCGATTTTCTCGGCAGGCCTCTGCGCGGAGTGTGATTTTAGACAGACTAGTATTTGTCGAATTTATGGATGGCATGAGGATACAGGATGACGTAGATAACGAAATTCTTGCATCCAAAAGTTCAATACTGCGAACCGGAAACTCATCAGCGACCTGCCTACTACCGAGCCGATGCTCTACCGACTGACCTGTTGCGATATGACCAACCGGATGCAAATGATGCCAGTGAACATTCAATGATGCGCAAACTACTATTTGAAGGAGGTACACAGCAACTGTCCTGTTTTCTATCACTGGACTAGCCTTATCGGCCACCGCCGCATGGAAAGAACAGCACAGGGGCTGAAAGAGATTCAATGGACATTCTTGGTATATCTGTAGAACTAACCGATGACATGCAGATCTAGAATGATGTAGGTGATAGAATTCGTATCTCTTTTTCAATCATTCGTAGAAGAGATAGAAAATGAGATAACACGGAACCAGTCATCATTTTACACAAATCGCCGACTAATCGGAGGAGAAAAATGTTGGTATCATTTTCCAATTACCGTGGTATTAAAGAGATCGCATGCATCCGCATGCACAGAACCAAGAGGTGGGACGTTTCACAACAGACATTATAAAATTGTCTGACATCGAATACCATATAAATGTCAAAGGATATATGACTAATAAAACTAGAGAAAACCACAAGTACAAGTGCTACGGCGTTACAATCTGTCAGTGGTAAGATTAAAAGATCGACATTCCGTAATGATAATAAACCATTCAAAAAATAAATGGAAAACATTCAAGTTCTGGATAATTATTTACTCCAGGGATGCAACTAAAGAGTAAAACATCAATACTGATGAACACATTCAGCGACATATGCGAGCCCAAGCACAGTTATATTGATTTGGAAATAGTTCCTCTGGCCACAGATTGTCTTCTTGGTCCGAATACAAACGCAAGAAACGAAGTTTCTTAGATTTTTTTCTGCAATCCACACAGGAACACTTACTCTGAGCTGATTCAATATCTGAATGCAATTGGAACGAACCAAATGAGCGTGATCTGAGTCGTTCAGTGCGAGAAATTCCAATGGGACGCGACCCTAAAGTACGACAAGAGATGCACACAGAACTCTGAGTTGGGGATCAATTATCTCGCGAAGATGTGAATAAATTTCATTTAGTAGAACAAGCGAAACGAATTGGAATTAAACAGACTTTTAGAGTCATTTGAAAATTGGTATAACGGCAGGCAAAGGGTACAGATCAAACTAATGAACAGACTGACAGTTTTATATAGAAATAATTCACATTTTACCAAGGGTTTGTTTAGCCCATGCATGTAACAGATTCGCAGAGCCGTCAGGGAAACGTTCAGTGATAAACTAATGTGGACATTTTTCCAGTCCACAGACTTGAACATCACGCTGAATTCCAAGGACTGTGACAGCAGTATTCAGATCCACAGAAGATACCGTTGATTACGCGTAATAAATCGAACTACGCTTCGATGCGTACATGCTACGAATACAGATCGTGTTTGCAGCACACGAGTGAATAGCACTGCCTATGAATGACACTAAAACGGAAAGGAAAACCGTGGAAGATAGCTGCATTAACTGAGACAGACAAGCAGGTAAACATGCGCCCGTGTAAATAGTCCGTTTTCAAACCTGCTATTTAACAATATTGATGATCCTCCTTACTACTTGCGCATGCCTCGGACCCCTTTTGGTCGTATGCTTGCGCATGTTGACCGTGGTCTTCTGTGCAGCATTCTTGCTTTGTTGAATCGATAGACGTTTTGATCTACAAGACCTTCATGTGGGCCATCTTGCTTTTTGTCAAGTTCCCGCTGAGAAACGCTTGTTGATCGGTAGGATCTGCATAGTCAGACACGGTTTACTTTGCAAAGTCGCGTTTCCCATCTGCCGCTGATGCTTGGTTGGCTGATGGGGTCGATTCTATAACTGAGCCCCACTCCGTTGTTACGGCAGTCTCCACTATAATCTGATTGTGGTTGTTATGATTATAGTAGTAAAAGCACAAGGGTAACAAACGGCACTGAGCCGTCCAACTTCTTCACTGAGTTGCGCGGGTTATACGCTGTTGTTTGACTGGACGTTATTCTTTTGCCGTGTAGAAACCTGGTGGATTCTATCGACGTCAATTTTGTGCTTCGATCGGGATGGAGAAATGCAGCAGTGCCGAAAACAGAAAACAGTTGTCAAAGGCGATTAATAACTGCGGATACAAACATTTTACAGCAGGAAAATGCAAAGGGTAAGTGGAGATATTTGGCGAGAACTGTTAAAATGTATGGAATGTGCGAAGAATGGAGTGTGCGAAGAAAAGGCACCCTAAAATCGATACTGATTCTCTCGAACAGCTGGGTGATTTTTATCCACTGCGATGGGTGGTTGTTACAAAATTTTGGTTTGAGCTCAGCGCGAACCAGATATCATCGACAGAAAATGACAGTATTTTCAATCGAACAATATGATACCTAGATGAAACTGCGAGCTACGAGGTTCTTACAGCCTATCGGTGTCTGCATCTGTTGCATGAACCTTGAGGGAGAGTGTTAGCTACTTTACTGTTCTGACGAAGTCTACAGATTACGTTGCAGCTGAATTCAGGCAACTCAATTCTCCACTTTTGCATTTGTCTTTCTGGATTTCACTTTTTTGCATTCCACAGTACATGAAGGCAATGGATCTTTCTTCCGTAAATGGTCTGAAGTGTCCACCGAGCAGATACTGCGGCCACTTTCGTACTGCTTCTAGGATAGTGCATACCTCATTCTCGACTGTTGAGTAATGCCTTTCACCAGGCACTGCTGTCCGGGGGAAGAAGGCAACTGGTGGTTCGTTTTGGCTCCGTGATGTGGCGACAGCGATGTCAAAGGCATCAGTTTCAAACAGCTGTGTCATGGCTGACAGTGACAACAACAGCGTTCTAGGTTTCGAAAGCGATTCAAACATGCCGCAATCTACTTGTTGGAAAAAGATGAAATCCCTTGGGAATAAAGAGCATCTCCCCTCCGCCTCCCCCCTCCCTTTACCAGTTGAGTGAACAGCGTCGTGACCGACAAAAGTTCTTCGCTCTAGTTAGTTACGTTCAGAAAACAGTAAAAAACGCGAAGCCAAATTGTCCACGCCCAAAAAACTCCGAAACGTTCAAGTGGAATTATTGGCACTATCGCACTCAAATTAGGACACAGAACAAACTTCACACAGCAATCTATTTTATCAGAAAGCTATCCTGTTTCGTAGTCCTCTTCCTTGCATTTTCCAATTCCACTGCATTAATCACCTTTCACAACCAAGCTACGTGTTGCAGTGGCTCTAAAATAGAGACCGATCTCATCACAATTGAAAATATTCTCCGAATCATTTCTGCATAAAGTAGGAACACATTCCAACCAATCTGATAGCTTCTCACTTGAGACTTCTAAAGCTTCACTATCCAATAGCCTTGAGTTAATATTATAGCATTGTTAGAATTTTTGCAACCAGTCAATGATCCCGCGAATATCACTATACCACACATTACGAACCATATCCGTTGCTTTATCTTGTAACAACACTCCTGTTACCCGCAGATAATCCCGACAAACAGTAAGAAGCCATTCGTACACAGCGCCGTTGACATCTCTGAAGTAACCGAGATATAAGTGCAAGATTTCTCAGTGACTTGAAGTACCTTCGTTTCCACTAGTTTCACGTTGGCCTCATTTCTCACAATCACGCGAACCTGCGTTCTCCCTACGCTGAACTGCGATGCAATCCGCCTTGCAGAAACTCCGTTCTTGTGTGGATTATTCACATTCATTGTATCACTGAGGTTCAAGAATATCTTTCTCGTCGACCGTTCCAATCACGATTTAAGGGCGTTTGCGGGATCCACTGTCATGGTTTGAAACTCTCAGTGATTCTACTGAGTGAACTTAGCAAGATAACCGGTGGTGCTCCAGTGGTTTGCTTACCACCTTGAAGGCCAGAGGCTCGAGTCCTCGACATTACTGGTGACTATGGTGGTAGACAGTAATCCATTGTCGCCTGGCTTGTTGCCACAACTGACCCATTGTGACTTTACGTCGTCCCCCACTCCAAGTCTCGGCGTCTGGTCGCCGGTTATCTTTAATAGTGCAGTAGGCGTTAGTGTCTATGGTGTATTCCCCTTTCCATCGCACTCATGCGCAAGTATGCAATAGAAAAAGCATTTTCTGCTATGAGATCGAACACTGAAAGTACATTTGCAATAGTAAACATCAGAGGTGTAAATGACTGTCGCAAACTGCGAACAGCGTACACCAGCACAAACGGCACTCACAGAATTCCTGGATATCCATTGACAAAAGATTTCAATGTACTTCCGAGTACTACCTGAAAGGCCTACGGCGCTCTCACATGCATAACCAAGCGCACCATGTGGTATTTGTCACAACAGAAAAGACTACAAGTCTTCTTTGGCACACGGTCAAATGGTGTTCTCCATCGGTGTGTAGGTATGCGATCTGATGGTCGTGTTCGCCCTTCAAGGGTTTTAGTGGTAAAATCAGTCGGGACCGGGACAATGCGTTCGCACAGAGGGGTGACCGCTCTTCGGGAGTACGCTCTAGAGGTAGAGCACTGTAGTAAGTGCACTCTCAGACCATTCGTTGTTGTGGTTTTGTATCACGCGATGGCAATTCCCGAATGAGCCATGTTCGGTTCAATTATCCCTTTACGAACTGCTGGAAGACGAATTTCTTTTGATGAAGTAGTGTTCTTGGCTTCGTTGGGTCAAATTCTATGTCACTTTACCGGTTTGTGAAAAGTATTAGAATTACCCTTGTTTTCACCCACGGTTTTCTCGCGTATTGTTATGTTATCTAATCCACTCATCATCCAGGCGCTTTTGAGATCGAATAAGCCGTAGTAAGGGGTATGGATCGAGGTAGGTAAGGTGGTTAATGGTTTGACTATGGTCAATCCCCATACGTAGTTTGCAGTTAGAGTTCCCTGTTACGGGCACTCCGGCCATCCACGGGAGTTCAACAGTTCAATGATACCGTCTCCAGTAGGCGATCGATTTCCAAGCGTATAAGTTATATGCGATTCGGATGTGAATAATATGCAATCCGAGAATACATTGAAGGACAACGGCTGCGATCCTGTCTTAGCTGCAGGTAACTCGCCTCACTGGCTACTAAAAGGGATCTCCACTTTGTCGTGGAAACCACAGAAGACATACGCAGGCAGTACATCGGTGTAAAGATTTAGTAATTCCAGGTTTATATCTCTGTAAAGCATATCTTCGTACTAGATGGACACAGCAGTAGCCTGTAGTGGAGCAGGACATAGAGGTCCACGCCATGGTAACTTAAGAGTTCGTAAAGTGGAGTTTCCAGCCGTTAATGAGCGCAACTGCAAGAGACATGTAGCTACCAGAGCTACCTGAGTCAATCACCCCTTGAAGGAATATTCCATTGACAGGGAAAGTGGCAACCATATATGACAAACAGTTCGAGGCAACTGCTACAGACATGCCGGATAGTAAGGAGTCCAGTGCGGAGTTCACGTGGTGTTTTGTGGATATGCACTTACCATCACGCTGGAAATGGTTCGACCTGCTACACTTCCTAAAAATTGCCTCTCATGTAAGACATTTAGAACGAGGATGTCTGCTGTATACACAGACGTAGAATTTTTGGCCATGGGTTGCAAGAACAAATGTACATGAAGGAGTAGGGAAGACATAGCGGGGATCCGTGAACTGAAGGGGGTCGAGCAACAAAACAGTGGTTGAATGTTTATGTAAGATTGTCATTGTTTATGGGCTAGCTCGAAAGATCCGGCAAGGCTCAACTTGTATTAGGCGAGCCTTTCTCGGGCTGTTGAGGACTGCAGTCCGGAGATCAGAGCGCCGTGTATCGATTCGTGTGTATAATGCAGTGCGGAAGTAGCTTTAAGATAGCAATCCTGTGGTGAATATTCAAGTTTCTTCCGGAATTTTTGCATTCTGCCCATTTTCTGGCTTGAAGGCTGCCAGATGTTGTATATGCACGCACATACCCGCATCACATTTTTAGGTAGCAGGTAGAATTCCCGAGTGTATGGATGGCGGATCTGCAGTCCGTGTACTCTGAAATGTAATCGGAAACAGGCGAATCGACACAACGCATGATTGTGTTCAGTCTATCAGAACTGGCAGCTTCTGTGTCTGAGATAGACACTTAGAATACGAAACCAATGGTTTTACAAATAAGGCACATTTGGTGCGCCTGGATCGACATTAGAGCACTTGACCCGGGCAACAGAAGGATCCATGTTATTACACAAATAAATCGCTATGGTTACGGTAGTAGCAAAACCAAAAGTAGCAACGAGCGCTTTACTTGTCTAAAAACGAAAGTATAGTGGTTGAAATATAAACAGGGAAACGTGGTGGTGGGTTACACAAAATAAAATCATGACAGTAGTCAATCCATGTCGGAGCGAGTTATCACAAGCTGGAGGATTTATGGTGAGGTTTCATTCATTTATTTGTTTCGAAAGTGAAGTTGACTAAATTGTGCATCCAACATTAACACAACAATCATGGCATTCACTCCAGAATTGATTTCTCGTAATTACCGATACTGTTCATCTCACACGACTATTACCATCTTATGATTAGTACGCTAGAAGATAGTGGGGCGAACGCTCATAGAAAAAGCGAGGTCAACGGAAAACATCACCCAAACGCACCACTGAGTTCAAGGGGATTGGCACACCGAGCAGACCAGCCATGAGTGGACACAGATCCGCTTGCTTTAATTCCCGTCGACGGCGTTCATAACTGTGCACTGGTAGACCATACTGATCCACCTCGTTCGACTGCACCGGTTTGGGAATTATCTCTGGTCCGGCCAAACCGGCACCCCAAACAAGTAATGGGGTCACGGTTTCATGCAAGGAACCGGCTCCATGACTTCCTTAAAACATAAATGATTCGTAAAACAGGTTAATCGATGGAAAGCTGCCGTAGAACAGTGACCTAGGTAACAACTGTGGTGCTGCAAAGACCTGCTTGGATAAGTGGACACTGGCGGCAGACTTCCTGCAAATGATCCACACCAAATTATAAACTGAACAATAAAAAAAACAGCTACGTAAAACTACACAGAACGAAATAAAGAAAACTGATTTTCGCAATAGATATTTTTATTCTTCCAAATATTCAAATAATTGGTTTATTGCGCAGTACCAAGTTTTCACTTGCCACTGGGATTTGCTGCAAACATGTTACGGCTGTTTCACGTCTGGTGCGGGCTATCAGCAATGCACACGCTCACCGAGGTCTCCTCCTACAGGGTGATGTGAGCCGTGTGTGTTATAAGTGGGTCATTTGGGACAACACTCTAAAAGTTTCTTCAAATGAGCAAAACACGAATAGTGATAGTTGTCACAAAATGAAAATCCACATGTATTCAAAAATAGGCGAGACAGTCTGTCCGCTATCGGATTTGATTCGGGGTGAAATCTTTCACGCTCGTTATTCCTTGGGTGAGTCAAGAAGTAAGACCAGTACCGACTAGTCTTTAGAACCTCCACTACGAGGTATCCCGGGATCATCATGAGGCGAAAAACAGTTATTTGGAAGGTGCACATGAGGAAGCGAAACCCGAACATTTTCTTCTAGAAATGGCGTTATCCACCTTTGAAGCCCACTGATAAAGTCGGCCGCTGTTTAGTCGGAGCCGTTACCACAGCGGGGGCAGCACGTCTTGAAATCAGACCCTGGGAGCTGTCTGAGACTCATGGTGAACAGATTTAGTAAGCGACGAAAACCAGCCGGGACGAGGTGTGCGAGTTACCTACGACTTATCCCAGTTAGTTTACTAATTTTACAAACAAAATTGGATTGAATCAGACTGAAATAATTATATTTTCAAAAAACTTATGTTTTCACAGAATGTTTTTATTGGCACGCTGAGCTTGAATCTTACGTAATGGAAAATCCACTTGGATTTTTCACATACAAAAGTCCAACGCCGCGAGCCGGAATCGAGCCGGCGACATTCCGCTTGTCGGGTACATGCTCTACCAGCTGAGCCATCACTGTACGGTTGGGCGGGTGTGAATAACGCAAGTGAATAAACAATGATGCGCGAACCACAATCCCAATGATGCATGACAACTGTCCTGGTTTTAACCACTGGACTAGCCTCGTCGGTTAGTTCCCAGTGGGACGAACAGCACACCAGTGAATGCGATCCGTGGCGTTGGACTTTTGAATGGGAGGAAATGCTAGCGGCTTTTTCATTAGGATTCAGGCACCTAGTGTAAATGAATACATTTTGTGGATATATTTATATTTCATGGTAATTTTTGGAACAAAAGTAGTCGAAACAAGGCCTTGCGAGTGAATTGTGTTCAATGTAAAAATGCGTGCCCCCGTTGAACTAGAAATAAAGTACCAACGGGGAAAATTTCATAGCATAGTACGTACCGGTATCCGCGACCGAGCCAATTAACGGTATAGCCGACACTTCCAATGTAAATCATGCTCCCTGTGAGGGAGCGCGCCCTGCACGTTGCTAATAGACAGCCTGGTTCAATAAAGCAGACAGCAAGTGATCGGCTGACCAGAATCGTCGACAAGATCAGAGCCAGTGAGGCGATCAATGGATCAATCAGTGGTCAAGATTCAACCAGAACCGAATCAACCAATCCGGGCGCAGCCAGCTAAACCAACCAGACGGGCCGCTTAGGTCTATCAGTAGACCAATAAGCTTTTATGCACGGTTTTGGTTATGACGAACGCATATCTTATATAAAAAATGTATTCTGTACCAATAAAACGAAAATGATTTTGAGGCAGAACTGAGTTCTCACTAGAGTTAGTGGGGCGGTACAAAACACCCTCCACGTCCCTACATATGCTGAGTCAGGTGTTTTGAACTACGCTCCTCGCATGTTTGTACACAACCTGCCGGGTGTGGTTTAGTTCACATTTACCGCAATCTCGCCAGGTGCGCCCCAGATATGAGATTGACTGTCCACTTTGCTTACCGACATACTGATGCCCACATGCACCCCGTCTCATCAAACCTACTTTTGACTGATTATTTGCACCATAATTCCCATATTTAAAAGCGAATGCGGTCGCTGAGATACAGGCTTTGCCGATCGCTACCATGATCTCCGCGACACTAAAATGCGACCTGTGACCGGAGCGCAGTGCTGTGCTATTATTATAGGTGGCAATGTGAGATATCGATAAGTGTTGTCAGGGGTATAATTAATTTCCAGAACAAAGTTGAACCTCATTTACATCACTATGGAAAATAAACACATTTTACTTACTACACCGATGACACGCACGAGCACTAGCCCAAAGTGTTCTGATCTGTCCCACTAGCTCCAATAAAACTCCTCAGCCTTTGAACCACTTCAGTTTTATTTGTACAAAATAGATAGTTTACATAAGATGCCTACCGATCGTAGCCAAATTGTTGCGCGAAACGTACTGGTCCAAACGTTATTCCTAACCGATTCTTCTGGCTGGCTAGTTTAGCTGCATTCTAGTGTGGCAAATTTGGTCAAAACAACTGTTAGCAACCGATTGGTTGATTTAGCTCCATTTCGTCACAAGCCGATTGAACTATCGATCCGCTTCACTGGTTCCAGTCTTTTTGTCGATTCTGGATACGTGATGACGTAGTGCTTGCCAACCAAACCAGGCTGCCTTTACAAGATGTGTCAGCCAACACCCTCTTACAAAGTAAGCGCGTTTTGTTTGCATAAAAGAGAAACCTGCTTTAGGCAGATAATGTTTGTTGTTCTGAATAAATTAACCATCTTCTGGACATTTCACGGCAAACCGATCAGCGAGGTAGGTACCAAAGAATTCAATCAGTGCTTCCGCAACCGCCAGCTAACTAGCAAACGCGTTGAGGTTTGATTTTATACACATCTGAATTCAGCAACAAATGTCACCACTCTCTCGGATGAGCACAGAGCATTAACCCACCTCCGTAAAAACGAAGAAAATGGTCGGGACAGTCTGCCGCCAAACGTGCTACAGTCAGGTGCAGGCACGTTGTCTTCAGTATTACCTGAACTCTTACCAGCGTTTAGGTCATGAGCCCACTCCCGATTGCTGAATGATGGCCACTATTACACCGGTACCTGGGAATTCCGTACCTAAACTGGTTTCTATTTCTCGTACGTCGATAGTTCTCAGTGCTTAAAAAGCCTGTTGTACGTGGCTTCAACCAATTCGCATACTGCCACTTCAGCTCAACTCCTGACTCCTTATCCTCTTTGGACTACCTTAGTTTATATTTATTCGTCAAAAAAGTTAGGCAGGCAGAATTTGCATGTTGGACTATAAGGACGCGTTTAACCGTATTGACCGGACTGAAATATTCCATACAATCGCTGACTGTGGTTATAAGATGTCATTTATTTATGGTTTGTTTTTGTACTCCACGATAAAATAGTGTTTTGATTCGTTCCATTAGCCCTATTAAGAAGACTTTTCTCCACTTGAACTATCTCAATCCATTGGGACAAAACAGATCGTTTATATGGCGTGTGGTGATCATAACCAAATCTTTGCGTGAAAACTCGTTGGCCCATTGATATTCATGAAGGGCCCTTCTGGGTGGTTTGTCGGGTTGCACCCGGATTGGTTAATTCGGATCCGGTCGGTTCAGACTAACATTGGCTGCCGACTGATCCACTGATCAGCTTGAATGGCTCCACTCTTGCCCTCGTTTCCAGACCAGCCATGGTGTACTGCTTGCTTTTCTTTATTACATGCTTGCGCATGAGTACAGTGAAAGAGGTATATACCCCATAGCCATGAGGGCCCACTACACTACTGAGGATAACTGGCAACTCTGGGACTTGGAGTGGCGAAGAACCACGTAAGGTCCCAATAGATCAGGTGTGGTAACGAATACCAATCTGCTTCCAACCTTGACACTGACTCCGGACGGGCGAAAGCGTGCTGTCTGATTACCGAAAGGGGACGTCTATAGACGTGCCTGCCACTACCCTCACAGATATCACGGAAAAAAATTGTTCTCAACACAAGCTTTAGCAGGGAGTTTGTCTACCAACTTGCCAGTTCCATACCTGAGCATAATGATTGCATGCTGTGCGAACAGGAAGATGACGCAGCTGAGTAACAGAGCTTGCCACCGGGTGTTCCAGGCATTGCCTGAGAGTACCTACTTTTAACTTCTACACGACTACCTCCTGCCAGAGGATCAGTCGACTCCATGGATATTGCGGATCATCGCCGACCATGAGCGGCGATTGACTGCGAGCTCAGCGCAAATCGTCACCCAGTTTTTCTCTCAGTATCCCGGGCCGTAGATCGTGTACCGTTCGAGGCGCCCGTTTCTCAACGGTACTCAACCACGTTTTCAGTTGAACACCAGGGTGACAGTGCCATTCCGTACATGGAGCAGGGCAGAGTGTTTGTCCGGACAGTTCTGTGTTGGGTCGCCGGAGTATATGAACGAACCACTGCAGGAGGCGGTGCTGCATCGCCTCTTCATTTCGTCATTTGATAGCATTTCCTGCCACTTTGTACAAAGAATTCCGCGCAGACACCAGTGATCGAACATCTCCAGCCTCCTAGTATCTTCAGCTCGCAGTGGCCGGTCGTATGTGAGCACGGGACACATAGCGGAACAGAAGACGCGACTCCTCATTCGAAGGCTAATTTCGCTCCGACACCAAAGCACACACCGAAGTTGAAGAAACGCTTGCCGTGTATTGTCAGTCTTTGACAGTACTTCGTCCTTCACCTGACCCTCAGCGAGCAGAACCGTCCCCAGGTATTTGAACGATGGTACATACTCGATCGCCTGACCATTGATGGACAACCGCCGAACCGACGGCCCAGGGCAAGTCGAAAAGCCTTTGTTTTCGCCGAGTTGACTTTGAGACCAATAATCTTTGAGAAGTGATCGAG